CATTTACATGCTTTGCAATCAGTTGCGTGGCGATATGAGTAGTATTTTTAAATTTATTTGAGGTATCAAGCAATAGATGAAGCATATAAATAATTCGTTTCTTCTTATCATTTTATGGTATCGTCATTAATTTATTATTATAGGTTTCATTGTTTTGCTTCTTATTCATCGATCTTATTTTAGAATTGAACAGTGTTTACTGTGCTTATTCTCATATTTCTTGATCATTTCCACAATTTTTCATTGTCTTCAATTCTTACCATCCTCCACTCTTGTCAACATATATTTTTCTCCAATCGATTAGTAGCTTTTTCAACAAACATTAGCTATGTCATCTTATGCAATTAGTGTGTAAATTTTTTTCAACGTTATTTTTATTACTTTTTTGTCATATGTATTTTAATCTCATTTTGCCATTATAAGAAATGTTTAGACCAGATCTGTTGACTGCATGAGAATGAGTGATACTAATAGACATGGTTCTAACAGCATTAGATAGAATATGAGATTTTACGTCTACTTTAATGTTTTGAGCTATATCTAAACTAGATTGTAATGAGCTTTATCGAAAACCGGCAATTACAAGGCAGGGTATTGCGATATTATTATTGTGTGGGAAAGAAGAGCATAGTAGATATGCTCTTATCGAGATAATATCAATGCATTAGACAGACCATATTGAAGTGGTTCTATCATTGAAATGTCTTATAAGTCGGTATCTTTTTCTGTGAAGTTCGTCTTCACCAATTTATGATGGTAAAATTTAGTAGTCAAACCGACTACGTATTTGCTACTTAAAAATCAATGAGAAAAATATGTAGACTTAGAATCAGCAGATTTCCATTGTTATCCTAGGAGGAGTCTGTTGACTTCATGTAAGTTTCAACATGAGAAATATTCAGTATAACTTAGGTGATAGAAGTTACTCCAATGAGAAAACAAAAGAAAGCTGTTGTATCGTTGTCAAAAGAGACTATCAGGCCTGTTTTTCTTGAAATTATTACATTTTCATGCTAAATGTCATTGAAACATGTGCTCATGTTGTTCGTCGCATACAATAATAACATGGGCAAAGTTCATTTTATTCTGTTTGATTCAATTCGCCTTTTGAGGACGAAACTTTTTCCAATTGAAACATGGATCCTCAATCAATTTATTGTATTTGGCACAACATGACTACATAAAGATTTTATGATAATAAATCCAGAACAGACAAAAAGATATAATAAATTCAATGTATAGTTGTAGAAAGAAAGGAGAACATCTAAGAAGGATCCATATGACAGAAAGAAACATAGGAAAGATATGCATAAGATTTTAGCTGGGACGACCTATTACGTTACATATCATAACAGCTTAATGGAGAACAAACATTTTCTTTACTAGAAAGTAGATGATTCAACATATGCACCGTCACCTCGCAAGAATTAAGCGTCATCTTGTGTTTTTTACTACAATTAGAAAAGACAAAGTCTGTCTGCTTATATCATAAAGGTCTTACACAAATCAATCGGTGTATCCTTGCACTATTCAGTAGAAATGTTTTCTTTCAGAGTCATTCAGTTTTTGTAGCTGCGAACAAGAATGCCATTGGCAACATTGAGCATCGTCGATTATGTTGTACTGGTGTTGTTACTGCTCTCGTCAGCTGCTATTGGTGTCATTTTTGGCTTTATTAAATCGAAGAAGAGCTCGGCCAAAGAATTTCTTTTGGGTAAGCAAAATAATTATCAATAAATATATTGATTTCGGTGAGTCTTAGCAAATGGTACTATGGCTGTGATACCCACGTCGTTGAGCCTAATTGTTTCTTTTTTGTCTTCCATCACTTTATTGGGTATTCCCAGTGAAATGTATATGTACGGAACGATGTATTTGTATCGATGTAAGTGAAATTATATAAATTATGGCTTTTAACTAAGCGTCGTTGACTTCATTTTTAGGTGTCTCATGGGCAATTGGATGCACAATATCGGCTCTAGTATTTATGCCTAAATTTCGAGAACTGCGCTTGACGAGTATCTATGAAGTATGAAACATTTACTTGAGAACTTGTTCGCCTATAACAAACGCCGATCAGTATTTAGAGAAACGTTTCGACAAGACAGTTCGCTTGTGTGCTTCGATCATCTTTATGACATTTCAGGTAAAGTGAGACTTACTTATTCCTCTACAGATGTTTTTATGTGTAGCTCATCTACATGGCTATTGCGCTCTACGCACCAGCTCTAGCACTCAGTCAGAGTATGCGAGCTACTAAACATACTCTCTTCTGTCTAACTTACACTTTTAGCAACTGGATTGAACATATGGCTGTCGATCGTCTCCATTGGTGTCATTTGCACTTTCTACTCTTCTGTGGTAAGTGTGCCTATTGTACGTTTCATTAAGAAACACTATGACTATGATGATGCATAGGGTGGTTTGAAAGCTGTCATTTGGACAGATGTTCTACAATCAGTGGTCATGCTTGCTGGTCTTCTTCCAGCCATCATTCACGGTTTGTGTGCGCTTTTCCAATAGATGTGGGAGTCTGATATGAAGCCAGCGACGATTTTAAGATTCTTAATGAGTCCGATAGTATCCATTTTGCATACAAAATAAATCCTAAGAGAATCTCGATGTTAGTAATTGGTTAAGATGTTATACTTCGAACTGTACCTTTGAAAAGAAGAGTTTTCCATTTCGGTCTTTTTAGGTGAATATGTTCATGAGCTCCTTGTGATTATCTACTATACACACCTATAGTACTCTATTATTTGCAAAATGGAAGACAAAAGAACTCAAATGTACTAGAATAGCATAAGACTAAAAAACTAGACTCTGCAAAATTAGTTCATCGTTCAGTCTTTGCTTTCATTTTTTTGTTTTTTTGGATAATTACTTTTCTGAGGAAGACATTGTAAATTTGTTATGTTTTTATATTTTATATACCTTGAGATCTTTTCCTTTAATTTTCCTAAGCCATCTGGTTTCTGTAGTTCTTTTTGACGTTCTACATAGATTTACCTAGCTTTAGAAAGTCTCCTAACTAACAGTATCTTTTTTGAATCAACTATCATCTTTGAGTATTCATCTATTCTTTGAACTTTCATGCTCTGAAAAATCCTGAAACAGTCATTAACCCTTTGGTTACGGGGTTTTTTCTATCAACAAAAAAATTTTGGTTTTTGTCATAAAGCTTGAAACAATGGATGTGTACGTGCATGACAGTACTATGCAATGATGCGCTAATTCTAGTAATACGAGATCACTTTTATAACCTAACTAAGTGCTAAAGTCTTGCAGGATAATTCTACTCTATCCTAGCCTGTGTTTGNCTTTTCACAATAGGAAAATTCATTGTACAGGGTAGCTCAAAAGTCAGCTTCCTGGAAAGAAAATTGAATATCTCTGTTACCGCTCGAGCGAACGAGTTGATATTTTGACTAAAGATAGAGGCATGTTCATACTCTAAATCTATATGGATAAAGTTGGTGTGAACCTTTGTCAAATATATTTGTTTCTTTTCTAAGCTATGAAAAAGTAAAATGTTTTTGTTTGGGTCAATAGTGATACTTACAAAGATTCTCATTAATCGTGCTCGTATGGATTTAGAGTGTGAACAAACCTCTAGCCTTAGTATAAAAATGAGCCCGTTTGGTCAAGTCATAATAGAGATCTTCAATTTCTTTTTTTCCTTTTCCTTATTTATGGACCACCCGGTAGATAATATAACATGCGGAAAAAAGTGACAATCAAGAACCACGAAGGAGAATTACGATGGTAAAGGTATATTTCAAATTGTGCGAGTATTTGACTCAGATCTACAACAATTACTTAGGTCTGTTCAAAAGTTCTGAGATCGTTAAATAAAAGTATAAAGATAAGAAGATATTTTTGAATTTTATTTCATCAAGGTTTCACTATAGTTGTTATGATTATTTATGCCAAGTTCAATTCTTTCTAATAATTTGTTAAAAGTCTTTTCTGAACTCTTTTTCAAAAAAAATTTCAGCTACCTTGGAAACTGCATGAACACATTATATTTCATTTGCCTGGTCGATTTCAAGAATTTGTCTTAAAATTTAGCAAAGATCGTGTCAGTTGAGTTCCAGTATTAAGAGTGATGAGATATAGATTTATTTTTGAGACGGGTTGGTAGTAAGTCATGTGATGCTAGCTGGATTAACGAAGATGAGTCAGCAAAGACTATTGCTCATAGAGACAGATTTGAACCAAAACTTTGTTTTATATATTGTTTAAGTCAAATAATCCTGTTTTCATACATAGTCTAGACAATGGCGAGAATATAGGTCATAAATATTATATTGAAAATTATCTAAAGCCTTTTGCTAGTGAAATATAGAAGCAAATAGAGATATCAGGTTCAAAATGTGTAAAATTATATAACTATCATCGTTGACTTCATATTTATCCAATGTTATTAATTATTTAAGAGAAAAAGGCATCAATATAATGTCACATACGCCGTATTCACCAGATCTATAATAGTACTACATAATCTTTGGTTAAATAATTCTATCGATCGAAGTTAAACTGATTAAATAAATGAAATACAATGTGCTCTTGCAGTTCCCAAGGTAGCTAAAATTTTTTCGAAAAAGAGTTCAGAAAAGACTTTTAATAAATTATTAGAAAGGATTGAACTTGCCATAAATAATCATAACAACTATAGTGAAACTTTGATGAAATAAAACTGAAAATATCTTCTTATTTTTATACTTTTATTTAACGATCTCAGAACTTTTGAACAGATCTAAGTAAAGTTGTGATTTCTGTCTCAAACTGGTCATAGCTGCTCTCGTTCGACTCCTGTCTGCTCATGGTTTTGTATATGATCGAGTAACAATGAACTTGATAGAATGATATTCATCATCATTTATGATCGCTGTAACGGTATCCATTGACATCTACTTGATAATACTGAGCCAATGCCTGTTTATAACCCATATGTGAAATCTTCATAGAACTGTATGTAAGAACTCAACAAGATAATATCATATTGACATTAATAACGGGATGAATAAGAGAAAAATGAATGTTTCTGTTCGATGATTGGCTGTATTGCAACTTGTCATAGTGATCAAATCTTGATAAATAGGTACGGTGTCGAGGGATTCTGTCTCGAAAACTGAACCTCCAATAATACGAACAAGACGTGAGCTGTTCTTATGAAATTGTTGCCATTTGGCGACTACTTCAGGTGTCCATTGAATACTATGCAACCATTGTTTAAATACTTCAACATTAGTCAATCTGAACGAAAACGTGAACTTTCACTATTAGAATAAATATTTGCACGAACTTACGAAGAACTATTTGCTACAGTTAGCCATGCTGCAGCAGACAAAGACGACACACATATAAAAAGATCGTTCATTCGAGGATAATAGGTGAATGTTTGAAGACACATTTCATCGGTTGTCTTTTGACCGCCCTAAAATGCATTGATTTTTGTAAGACAGAACAGGCAAAAAATCGTTCTCTACCAGTGTGACGTCTTTTTTGTTCATTGTATTGTAAACACATTGAGTCACAAATGCGTCACCCTATAGAACAAAGCAATTAATTAAAATCAATGTTTTGTTTGCTTTTTTACTCGATAAAGTTTGATCGGTTTCGGTAGATTATTTAGAAACTGATAATTGAAATTGTAAGATTCGGCATTGAACAAATATTGCACAGCCGTATTGTTTCGAATCAATTTTGTCGATACACTTTTACCTGAAAAGTGAAATACTGAATGATAATAATATCTAGTAAAATGTGTAACCTTGCAAGTGAGTATGTGGAAAAGCAGAAACGACTGTGATGCCTGATTCTGGAATTGTCTAAAGTGAACAAGAAGAATAAAGGCATGTGAATAAATAAAATTATAGGTTGTACTTCAGTAGCTTTGGGTGTACAAAAGGCATCAATTACAAATTCACTAGCTTGCGGTGGGATGACAATAGCGCCTGGGTTTGATTCTGTACCCAATGTTAGATAGCCGAGATCATATCGACGAAGTGCTTCGCCAATATAAAATCGAATACCAGAATTGTCATGACGGTCTGAAAGCAAAATCGGCTGCTTCATGATGCGATTTCTTGCCAGAAAAAGATCATACCCGAATCTAGATGAGCATTATCAAAATGTGTTTGAATCATGTAGTATTTGACGGGAAAATCGCCGCCAACAGGATAGCCGACCTCTTCAGGATATTCTACTATCTATATAATTATGAATAAATATTTTCAAAATTGTTTTTTTTTCACTTATTGGATCATCTTACATGATCACCACCGACTGCCCATCCATTAGCCATATTTGACAAGCACGCACTGAACTGATTGATATGGTCATCACAAACACCTTCAGGTAATTTGGCATCGTCGAACTCAGCTGCAGCATTACATTCATACGTGGTCATATGATGTACTATATCTTGACTACTTGGATCAACAAGTATTTTGTACTATCAAAAAATGAGACCCAAATAAAATATGACACATGAAAACAGAACAACCACTTACACCAATTGCATGACGTTTTGTCGAAAAACGAGACGGAATTTTAAATACTTTGCAATAGTAAGTTGTGTCCGTCGATGGAAGTAAATACTAAGACATACAAATAACTCATTGTACAGTATAGATTTCTCCAGTAAAAAACTGACATTATTTAAACGAAAATCAAACGAATCAAGTCCATCAAACGTGTTTTCTGGAGGTGGATTGTCATAGGAACGGAGTGGAATCATACGTGTTCCGCGTCGATTCTCATGATAGGAAATATCTCCGTTCGATTGACGTTGATCTGGATCAGAAATGCCATAAGCAAAGATGACAATATTGGTTCCAGTCTATAATGAAAAAAAGAATTTTCAGTGATTCTCAGTTATTGAACAGTTCGAAAATTTATTTTAAGAAACATTATGATCGATTCACTAAACAAATACATCTTTATTTTGTCATCAATCTATTAATAAGAATTCATTGTGCGAGACACATGAAAAATTTGATCGTCTTAATAGTGACCACAAGAATATCTAAAGAACTAAATTGGCTATTCTGCCAAAATAGTTCATGACTAAGCAGAGAACGGCTTACAATTGTAAATAATCAATAGAAAGCATTCTTCATTTAGAAAAGAAATATCAAAAGAAGACTAAGTAGTAAGTGATTTTCATAGCTTTTGCGTCAGAAGGAAAACAAGAAATTATAAAATGTATGATGAAACAGATATAACAATTAATATATTTCAATTCAATTGATTAAAACAAAAATTTGAGCTAAGTTATTATATGATTTTGATTAATATGCTTGTTTTAACCAATTTCATTCAAATAAATTCATTTTAACGTATGTTTCATTATCTGAAATGGCATTTTTTTTGTGTTTTGTCAGTCCCTAAGTATAAACTTTTTAGAATAATAAAAGCCTCTCAAGAACAATCTTCAGAAGAACGATAAGTATTTGCATTTTTGAAAGATATTCGTGATTGCTGAAAATCTCGGTGTTGAGGATTTTCATAAAGTTTGCTTCACAATACTTGTTAGCTATTGTTGGGTTCTCATGATGAGATAAAGACTAGACTCAGCAAGCAGTGTTTTTATTCGTGACCGCACTCAAAAACCTTAAATCAATTTATTATTCTAATTTTAACAGTTTAGTTTGAATGTTGATGTACTTATCTGATACCTTTATTGACACATCCATATAATCACAGGTTTCAAGTAAACGTTTAAATTGAATAGCTGTCCATCCATTTTCTTCACGACCTTGGAGACCAATCCAATCATTCGTTGTACTATCTATAATTGGCTTTGAGAAATTACGTGCATATCGATCCTAGAAAGAAAAGACTTCAGTGTAATCCTCACAGAATTAAAATATGAAATACGATGAAGTCACCGTAATCACGATAAAGAAATCTCACTACATGTAATATATTGCGTTAAAAAAAACCAAAGGTTAGCTTGTCGTAATACCTAATTAGTTACAGACCGTAACACTGATGTATGTTGAGGTATGTGTGCAGTGGTTGAGTTCAACTGTTGCATCATATAGTTTAACACTCATTACTAATCGTGTTTTACCAAGCTGTTCATCTGTCTATTAGAGCGAGATCTTCTCTTACTTGGAAATGAAGAGCTCCCGCACTGTCGACCCATCCAACGCCAATGTCAGCGCCCGTCATTCCGCCAACTAATTCATAGGCAAAGATTCGAAGAAAATAATCATTAATTTGAATAATATTCTACCTGGACTAATACCCAAAGCAATCCAGCCCGTTGTCTTGATATGCATTTCAAACAAAATTTCTCGTTCGGCATCGTCGATTGTCCACCAAAGATCGGCGACATTTGCTTTGAGCTCAATCGAGTGCTTGTATGTAGTGAATGATGCAATAGGACTTGAGATTCCTTTCGATTTCTCGATTACCAGCAGCCAGAACAATACTTGGACAACTGTATACAGATACATCGTCTAAATAAAAAGTCATAGCAACGAATATCTGACAATAATCGAAATTAATTATCGTTGATCTTAATCGGGTTTGTTCTCTTATTTTGAATATATTTCTTGATCAAACCGATAGTGTCCTAGAAAAAACAACTCAGCTCATACTGTGATATTTGTTTTGAGATAAAGACTAAGCCACGAATTGCGAAAATGTTTTTTTCAGTGCATGCAATCTGCTGCGAGCACTGATAACACAAGACTTTTTGAGTCATTGCAAGCAAAACAAATTGTGTATTGAAAGCTTGAAGCATATATTGCCATCACTGCAAACACAAGGTAAATAGTAAGATAAATAGTGAAGGACGACAAAAGTATTACTTCGTTTCGGCCATCGCATCAACTTTTATTTTGCCATCATGCAAGCACTTATTTGCACTTGGATCTAGGAATATATAGTGAAATATGCTTCAAAACATGTATCGATTTGTGTGGAAGCAGAATGGACGAGTGTGGGCATGGGCATTGGCGTGGGAGTGGTTTTGAGATGTTTGCAGCTGTGTTAGCGTGAGTCTAAGTATGGATAGTGTGAGTGTGGAAAGGAGAACTAGTGAAAATTCCGTAGTTCACTCATACTTCAATGTATGTCAGGGTACTCCAAGGGTATGTCAAAGCCGTCAGGCTAAATCTTTTATTTATTTGAAGTTTATCATCAATGTGCATCACGAGCATATTAATTTGATCTCATTTTATATATTTCCGTCTAATAAGAAAGCCCATCTACTTCATTGTGCTTCGAAACTTGAGTACTAGTCAAGTACGCTGGAGTATTTGAGCTTTATTGCTGCAAAGACTTATATTAAATGAACTGAACCTAATTCGTTCATGACACACTCTGACAGTAGACGCGGAATAGCTAAAATGTTTTAGATAATAGCTTTGAAAGATCTTTGGAGCACAGTAACGCACTTTCAAGTACGGAATTTTCGCTTTTGTTCCATGAGTGTGTGTGAGAATTTGGAATGGGAATACAAGTGTAGGTGTGGGTTGGTTTGGGTCTGAGTCTATTTTTTGGGCTATAGGTGTTGTTGTGCATGATTGTTGGCGTGGCTGTGAGTACAGGTGTAGGTGTGAGTGGATGGGGGTGGGAGGTGTTGTGGGTAGGTGTGAGTGTTGCTGTGAGTCGACGTTGGCATCAGTATAGGTATAAGTGGGTATGGGCCTGCGTTTGTTTTTGAGGTGAGTGTAGTTGGGTGTGGGTGTAGGTGTGCATGCGATTTTTCACTTTTTTTCACTACTGACATACACCTACGTTCAGCCTCGTGTCTCACGACCACTCGTGCTCAATTAAGGGTCTTTTCTTTCGGCAGTGAGAGAATTTGACCATTGGACCCAAATATTGCATTGCTACTTCCAGCTTTCTATCATTTTCCGGATTCATCCGGGAAATATATTTTTCTGTAAATCGAATTTCTCGGAAAGTAATTGGCATTTGAACGAAGTAAACTGAAATGAATATCAATCAAAGCAAAAAGAAAATTGTTTTTGTCGATGTTTGATGCTCAAAATTCGTCCAATTATTTATTTACGAACACTTGTTTTTATTCATAAACAAAAGAAAACAATTTATTCCAATAGTTGATTGATAAATACAGAAAATTTGCCTAATAATGAAACTATTCCTTATTTTTTCTTTTCTCGGTTGGTATGCGTTTAACACGGAGCTCTCTCTGAAATACACTAAGTAATTTTAAGTCGATTGTTAGAATGAAAAAAAAAGAATTTTCTTCATTAAAAATTTAAAAAACAATTCGGATGAATTAAATGGTTAGTTTAAAATTTTTTTCATATTGTAAGTAAATATCAATTCTTTTAGTGATTATTCTCCGTAGCATGTTTCCTTGTCCATTCTTTCGCTGTTTCATTGTATCTTTGCTGGTCTGTTCGATAGAGTCTTAGTGCATCTTTGTTAAGTCCATGTTCTGGATTTGGATCTGTCAACAGTGAACATAACGATATCAAAAGGCCACGTATAGTTAACGCAGGAGGCCATTGTGAATGAAGTATATCCAAACAGATTTCACCTTTTGCACTGATATTTGGATGAAAAACTGGTGTGATAAAATGAATCGTAGGTGGTTTAAATGGAAAGTCTACAGGAAAGTCGATAGTCAAGCGGAATTTACCACCAGCATACGGAGTATCTTGTGGTCCTTCAATCCAACCAATCCAATGCATCATACTTTTACTAGGATCTTCAGGTTCTGCATAACATAATGGAGGCGGATTCTTCTGTATCTCACGAAAATGAATCGCAAGACGTTGAGTAAATGCCATAATAATTATGAAACAATGATCTGAAGCAAAATAACGAAGTTTAATATTCTCTCCAATATGGGATGACATTCAGGGAAGGACGAGGGGGGGGGGGGGGGGGAAAGGGATAAAAAACTTTCTTTCATCAAAACGCGGCAAGCCCCCCCCCGGCACATCTTTTTGTCCCGTTTCGAGAACAGACATTGACACACC